TACCTGTTTCTAACCCTCTGTCCCAGGAAAAGAGTGGTAGGTAGCAGTGGGGGTTCCAATCCTTTGCTGGCTGGGGTGTCCTGGGCAGGGCAATATGGGCTGGTGACAGGACCTATTCCACAGGATGGATCTGCAGCCTTCACAGGTCCCAGTGTCCTGTGCTTCAGACTGTGAATCCGAGCCTCCCGTAGAGAACTAATTAACCGGAATTGTCGCAATGCTGTGACCTCCTATGTCCCATCTCCCCACGCCTACCGCTTTCCTCAGCTCATCGATTGATTGATCAGCTGAAAGTCATCATAAGGAAAGAGCAGGAGGCCACCAAGTGTGTGTGTTGGAGGGGAATGGTGTGAGCTGAAGACCCCAGAGTACGTTTCCTTTCTGGGAGGGAAGGGAAGAAGCGGAGCTTTTCTGGCAGGCAGAGTCCAAGAAAGTCCAGAGGAAGAGGAGGGAGTGGCATTAAGCTGCCTGGTGTTGCACGGCTCAGATTCTCAGGAGCCGAAGGAAAGGGCCTCCTCAAGGAAGGAGCATTGCGCACCCAGGTGCCTGGTGCAGAAGCAGAGGCCCACTCAGAGAGTGGCAGAGACTGAAGGGAGCTGTCCCAGGATGGTGGCATTGAAGGGGAATGTCCTGGGAGGCCAGGAGGAGGCTAAACTGTGTGGGCAGTTACTCAGCTGTTCTTTCAAACCTTTGGAGGAAGATCAGAGGGGCAGAGGTGGTCCCCAAGTAATGAGCTCCTTCCGGTAATGAGGGAGGAAAGACAGCCTGTGTTTGGGTCACATTTCATCCTTGGGCTCACGGGAGACTTAGCCAGTGAGGAGCATGCTGCGTCCTGTGAGAAACAGGCTGAGAGGCGGTCTAATCTGCTGCCCTCTGTCCACTCACGGTTTTGGGTAAACATATCATGATCCTCCTTAGGCTTCACTGTTTTCTGGGGACAGCACAGGGTGGCGGTGGTGGTGTTTGTTTCTTCCCAGTATAAACTGAGCTTGGGTTTCTCACGCACACTTACTGGGCTGTGGCCTCGGTCCTCCTGGGGGCGGGGGGGGGGGGGACTGGTGTGGGCAGGGAGCCATGTTTCTCTCTTTTCCAATCTTTTCTTTTTTTGGTACCAGGCATCAAACTCATGAGCTTGCACTTGCCAGGCGGGTGCTTACTCCACTGAGTTAAATCCCCAGCCACCCTAACCCCCCCTTTTTTTTGGAACTGGGGATCATGCTCATGACCTTGTGCTTGCCAGTCTTTCCCAGTGCTGACAGCCTGGCTGAGCCACTCATCCTCCAAGGAGAAGGGAATCTTTAAGGCTCCTGAGACACCCCTGACCCATTTGCTCCCTTTTCTTTTCTCTTTATCCTCCTCTTCCTCTCTCTGTCTCTGTCTCTCCTCTCCTTTCCTTCCTTTTTTTTTTTTTACATTTTTTTTTGGTCTTTTTTCGTTTTTATCGGTACCAGGGATCAAACTCACGACTGCCTGCTTGCAAGGCAGGCGCTTATGCCGCTGAGCTAAATCCCCAGCCCCCCTTTTTCTCTTCTGAAGAATGAATTTATTATGAAAATTCACATTAATAGTAAAAATCCAATCAATGCAAAAGGACGGGTATGCAGCAATGAGTTCCTCCCTGCCCCTGCCTCTGGGCTGTCTGAACCCACCTCCTGAATCCACCCACCAGCATCCGGGTCTGTAATCTCTGTTCTTTCCTGTTGCCGCCGTGACAAATGAGCACACACTTAGCGTAGTGGCAGAAGCAATAGGCCTTCGGTAGTGGCTTCTGGCTCTGGAAACCAGAGTGGCCCTGGGTGGATCGCACTGGGTCACATACAGTCAAGGTGATGTTGGAGCTGAGTTCTGGGGGGACTCGGGGAGGACTCGGCTGCCCTGTGTGGTCCAGCTCTGTGAGGCTCCCACATTCCTTGGCTTCTGGCCTCCTTTCACCTCTAAAGCCAGGAACAGCAGATCACTCTGACTCTCTTCTGTCTCCCTTTGTGATTATGCTGTGCTTATCCAGATGACCCAGCATAATCTTCTATTTTATCTTCAGCTGACTAACAAGTTTTATTCCTTTTGGAACCTTCCCTTCCCTTTATCACGTAACACAATATAATCTAGTAGGTGGACGTATGTGGGGGGCCCTTATCCAACTATACCTGCCACAATATCTGCCTCCAACTATATATCATTTATACACTGTCTCTCTTTTCCTGTCTTCAAAACACACACAAATGTGAACACACTGAGACAATCTTCCACACTCCCTTCCTTCCCTCCCTCCCTTTCCTTCCTTCCTTTCTCCTCCTCCTCCTTTTTCCTCCCTCTTTCCTCCCCTCCTTTCCCTTGTCTTTCCTTTGTTCTGTTAACAAAGTGTATATTCACTTCCTGTTTTGTTTTCCTTACGTAGACTAACTCTAAAAGGGATCCAAAGAACTTTGATTTCTAAGCATTCGTATTCCTCTCAATTCTTTTTGGATTTTTGCTGCCGTCATGGGCATTTTGGTTGTCAGGTACCTGAAAAGACCTGAATAGAGCATCCAGCCTTTACATGGTGGCCTGGCTTAGGCTCCTGTGTCACTGGGAACAGGGCTGTCGATCTCCCTTTACAAAGGACTCAGCTATTTCCCTGGGCTGTGTGTCTCGGATATGGCTACCCTTCCTTTGAGTTTTCTGCCCTCAGCCACCCTGGACACACACAGACACCTTCAGGGCAGCAGAGTCAGTCTCTTGTCATTTAATGACCACGTGGCTTTCTGTCACACTGATAGATCATCATTTGGCTTGGTCACTCCCTCACTGTTGGGCATGTGAAAGGTGTCTAATTTCTTGCTATAATAAATGCAACTGCCTCAAGTCTGTTGTTCAAATTACTTTGATCATCTTCATGCCCGGCGAGTTCCATGCACAGGCTCAGAAATAGAAATCACGTGTAGGGTGGGTGGTGGTTAGTACCTGTTATCTTGGCCAGCATAGAGATGGTTGGCAACCCCCTCTTGTGGTTAGTTTGGATTCACCTCCAGCTGGAAGAGGTTACAACGACTCCCCTGGAGGCTGACACATCAATGCACTATAAATTCTGTGCCTGCACATGTGGTGATGTCTGAGTTCACTTCCCTGGCACATAGCATAGCTCATTTCAACATTTCCCAGAGCTAACATGGCCACCATAAAACAGGGCTGAAAAGACCCACTGTATAAACTGGTGTCAAACATTAACCAGGGAATTTAGCCAACATTAGCCGATGTTATTATTAGCTATAGCTGACTTAACATAGAACTGCTCATGCATTTTCCAAAAATAAGTAACATAGCCCGGTGTGGTGGTGCACACCTGTAATCCCAGAACTCAGGAGGCTGAGGCAGGGGGATTACTGCAAGTTCAAGGCCAGCCTGGGCTAAATAGTGAGTTCAGGGACAGCCTGAACTATACAGTGAGACCCTGTCTCAAAAAACCAAAATAATAATGATAATAATAAACAAATAACACGTTTAGAGACTGAACATGATTGAACGGTATAACCATGAAGTTCAGCCTTCAGCTGTATCTCTCTGGCATAAAGCATCCACCTGATGAACCAGGGGGTGATCTGAGAAAAGAAATCAACCACAGCAAGAGATCATTGTTTTGGTTCCAAGGAAGGAGAGTGTGTGGTTCAGGTGGCAGTGGGCACATAGATGGCCCTCCAGGGGTGTGAGGCTCTAATGAACTGGTGAAGGAGGGGAAGAGGACGCAGTGGTCACTGGGGAGGGACGAGGACAAGGCAGGTCTTCCTGCTCCAGGGGGAGGTGATGGCTCAGAGCAAAAAGGGACGCGCCTGGGTTAGGATTGGATTCCTGTGGAGTTCCAAGCGTCTGAGCCAAGCTGCCTCCTGGTTTTGCAAAGCACTGATATTAATAAGGGTGATTAGTAATCATGACGTGTGAATAATAAGGGGATGGTTAATTGTCCTGGTTATGATGAACAGCAGTCACTGGGAGAGGGTAGGGGACTTGGGAGCCCCAACACACACACATGCACACTCATAAATGAACTCTTCTCAGCTATGCCTAGGAGACTGCAAAACCAGCAAGCTGAAAGAGGACTAGTGTTTTTAAAAATAAGACCTAATAGAGCAACATTTTTTTTCTTTTTCTTTTTAAAAAGGCAGAATTTTGAAGTGGGGAGCAGCTCAGCAGTAGGGTGCTTGCTTAGCACATATGAAGTTCTGCGTTTGACCCCAGCATTGCAAAGAGGAAAATAACTTTAAACTTATTTACAATTTTCTTTACTTGCAAAAGGAGATGTGTTCACAGCAGAGCCTGGAAAATACAGAAATGTGAGGAAGTAAATACTTTTCGTGTGTATCCTAGTCATTTCTTCTATGCATATATAAATAAAAGCCACAAGCTGTATTTAAAAGAAAACATAATTAGTATTACATGCTACACAGTATCTGGTAACTTGCTTTATCTTTAACTTATAAATACTTTATGTGCCCTTCACCTTGGCATTGAGGTGGCTTTGAGAATATGATTTTTAATGAGGGTGACATTATTTTGGGCAGCAGGGAGTCTGTTAGACAAGTCCATCGTTTCCTGTATCCTTCAGCTGGAGGAGCTGGGGGCCTTCAGGAAGGTGATGCCAGGTGGGGTAGCTCAGTGGACCAGGAAGCAGGACAAAGAAGGGACACACTTGCGTCCGAGCCTGAGCTTAATGGCTGCAAGCATCTTCTGAAAGCATAATCCCGCCCCCCCTTACTGAGCTGAGGGTAGACAGCAGATAGAAACTTCCCTAGGCACAGCTAGGACCAATGCCAGCGTTCCTCCATGGTCCTGGAGACGGCTCCCGACCATTCTAAGCTGCTTTTCCCATCCGCATGTAGAAGACATTGTGCTTACCTCCAGGAGGCTGAGATACGAACCCACACAGGAAGTGGAAAAGCACTGACCAGGGTCTCCCACTGAGTTGTGGCGCAGTGGCCAAGAGACTCAGCTTTCCTACTGACCACCCAAGAGCCCTCAGAGCTCTAAACTCCACCAAAAGGCCAGGGAGGACCCTGCTAGTCTGACTTGGGACACCTGGCTGCTGTCAGGGTTAGGATTAAGTAGTAATGCTACTGCCTGCAGGGCCCTGTTCATGAGGAAAAGGTTATGACCAGAGCCATGGACCCTCTGCCCCACGGTTGGCCATTCTGGGGGGAACATCTTGTGCTTTGATGGTTTCCTAAAAATGGGAAAGAAATCACATAACAGAGAATGCTGGCCTGACCTCGTGGGGTTTCCCATCAGTACCAAGAAGTCTTAGATGACTGTGGAACAGGTCCACCTACCTGTACCTCTGCATTGCCCGTTACTGACAATGTCCAGAGACAAGGGGTCACCTGGAGCCACAGGTACTTGCAAATTTAGTACTTTATCAATATTCTTATGCAAGTTTTATCCATTCATTTGTTCATTCGCCAACTGAATAATAATTATCTGCAGTCTCTCATGACTCAGAGTCTCTCCACTGACCTCTGTGACCACAGGCAAGAGCTTCACCTTACTGTCCTTGATGTTTCCATCTGTAAACTGGGGTTATGATAATGGTGCCTATCTCCTAGCATTGATGGGAGGAATAAAATGAAAGTAAATGTAATTTGCTTCCAAGGATTCCAGGGACACAGTATGTGCCAGGTAACTGTTAGTTAACATCATCATTGTAGTCATTAGGGCTATGATTCTGGTCGTGTTCCGGGCACTGTGGACAAAGAGAGGACTGAGTCAAGGAGGCCACATCTGCTGCCACAAGGCCTTAGCCATGGCAGTGGGTCCTGGAGCACAAAGAAGGGAAGCTTCCCCCTGGGTGAGTAGTCTTTTGTCAGGCCTGTTCCCAGCCCCCAGCTCTGTCCAGTCCAGGCCTTCCAGGGCCGGCCGGCCCCTCCCCCACGCCTCCTCTACCTCGGAGCACGCAGCAGCACGCACTCAGGCTGCTCCAAGAGGTGACAAAAAATTAAAATTAAAGCTAAATTAAAAAGAAGATTCCCATTTCCTCTCCCCATCACACTTCCCACCTTAATTTTATCGCAGGTTCCTTCTCGTTTTATTGACTTTTAGAAGCATCACCAGAAGATTTAGTGTGGAGCAGGACAGGAGGCAATAAAAACGTGCTCTTCTTCTGGGCTCCACTGAATTCTGCTGGGCGGGGAGGGGCAGGTAGGGAAGGTGTGTGACGCCCCCGGAGGCAGCGGGCAGGGGGAGAGGACTCCCACTGTCCTTTGGTCGGCTTTGGGCTTTTGTCCCCTCCCTGGGCCAGTTTCCTGGTGACAGAGAAACAGTCCCATCCACTAATCAGGCCAGCAAATAGACAGTAGAATTTACTTTCCTTGGTTTAGCTTTAAAAACAATCCTAGATTTGTCCTCTCCCCCATTGCCACCCCTATTTCCTGGGACCAAGATTCCCCATCCACCAAACGGATCTTTATTTAATTTTATTTTATTTCATGCTCTGTTGGTGCAAACATTTCCCCCTTCTCCCCACGCTCCCTCCTTTCTTCCTCTGTTTAGTTTTTTGCCCCCCCCCTTCTAATATCATTTTCACCCACCCACAGTGACGCTGCGTGTTTGTAATTTTCTCCTGACCCTAATGGCTTCGGTTTCCCTTCAGTATTTAAGCGGAACAAGACAGAGGTAAGTGGCAAATAAACAGCGGTTCCTATTTACGCTGCCAATTTCGGTTGATGGTGGAGAGGCTGCCTTGAAATTAACTCTGCTGCTGTCTGTCGCGGAGGAACGTTCGCTACAGCCGAGAGAGGCAGCTCCGCCGGCTGTGACAGCTCCTCACTGTTACTGCCGGGGCCTCGCTGGAGGAGGGGGGAGGTGGAGAGCCCCAAGTGTTTCATTTCAGCAGATTCCGGCCCTCTCCTCGGCACAGGCCTTTCACCTCCGCAGACCAGTGGGTCTCCAAGGGTGGTCCCTTGGCCGACGCTGTCAGAGTCAGCGCAGACCTTGTTAAGAAATTAAAAAATTCTCCAGCCACACAGACCTATGGAATCAGAAACTTGGGGGAGGAGGATAATGGCAGTGAGTAGGATCCACCAATCTGTGCTTAAAAAATTTTTTTTTAAATTTTGAAGCGTGATTTACAAATTAACCTGTTTAAACTGGTTATGGTGGTATATGTCTGTCAGTCCAGCCTTCAGGAGGATGAGGCAGGAGAATCTGGAGTTTAAGGATCTCCTGGATCACATAGATGCTCAAAATGATCCAACCGTTTAAAGCATATAAATATTCAACAATCTTTTCAGAAAGGTATCGAGTGTGCAATCATGATCACAAGTTGGTTACAGAACATTTTTATCATTCTGGTAAGATCCATGGTGACTGTTTACAGTTACTCCCTTCTCCACCCCCTAGTTGTAGGCAATCAACCATGAATCTACTTTCTGTCTCTATAGATTTGCCTTTCCTGGATGATCTTTTGAGTCTGGCTTCTTTAACTGAGCTTAATATTTGGTTTCATTTTGTTAACAGCGTTAGCGAGATACAATTCACACACCATACTATCCACCCACTTAAACTGTGCAATCCAATGGCTTTTTGTTTGTTTGTTTATTTTTAATTCAATGGCTTTCGGTAGATTCACAATGGTGCAACCATCATCACTATCAATTTTAGAACAATTTCATTACCCGAAGTGAAACTCTGTACCTCTAGGCTGTTATTTCTAAATCCTCTCATCTCTCCAATCTTAGGTCATCACTGATCTACTTTCTGTCTCTAGAGATTTGCCTATTCTGGGCAAATAATATGTGTCCTTTGTGACTGGTTTATTTTCAAGGTTCATCCATGTCGTAATGATGTATCTGTAGTTGGGTTCTTTGTATAGCTTCACCTAGTCTGCCACACTGCCTTTCTACATTCACCACTTGATGGACGGTTGTTGGAACAGGGATCAAACCCAGGATCTTCACATGGAGCTACAACCTCGGGAAAGTTTTTCTTCTTTTTAATTTGGAGCAGTCTCATTAAAGCGCTAAATTGCCCTGATGGACATCTGGGTACCACCCTTTTTGGTATCATGAATATGCTGCTATGAAAATTTTGTGCAAGTCTTGGAAAGAACTTAATTCACATTTTAATCCGATTGAGAACCACTGCTGTAGGCCCTTCCTCCTCTCCTCCTGCATCTTTCTCTCCTTGTGCCATTTTCCCACATCAAGTGTCCTGCAAGCTGCACATGTGCCTGGGCCACTCTGCACACAGGAGGACTGAGATGAGGTGCTTTCTGGTCGCTCCCTCACCCCAGCTACTTAGTGTGAGAGCCTGCTCCTGGGCCCAGACTCTATGGGAATCCATACCTTTTAACAGAGGCAGGATACAGCCAGCAGGTCTCAGGTCCAGTGGCTTTGGCCACACACCTGGTTCTTTTTTTTTTTTTTTTGTACTGGGAATGGAACTCAGAACCTTGCACTTGCCAGGCAGGTGCTATGCCACTGAGCTATAGCCTCAGCCCTACACACACCTGCTTCTAACCCCCTTGCTGGCATAGGACTTGCAGCAGTTCCTCAATCTCTGGGTGCCTCCATTTTTCAGTCAGTAAAGTGGGTACAATATACCAGACCTTCAGGAGTGCTTGGAGTGGACATTTAACTCCACTAATACTGCTCCCTCCCCTCTGCTCACCCCCCCCCCCCCATTTTGGAAACAAGTGAATCGCTCCTGCAGCTTAGCCAGCTTGGGCGCCTGGCCCTGTGCCCAGGGCAGCAGTCTCTGCGGATGGCAGGTCCCACGGACTGGGGCAAGGCTGACCTTGCAGACCACGCTACAGCCTTTGTGGGTGGGTGGGGGGCTGTGCAGGAACCCCAAGCTCCGGAGTTCCCGAAGGCGGAAAGCGAGAGCACGGGGCTCTGCATGCCCTAGGTCCCTGGGTGTGCCGGCGAACCGGTCAGCCTCCTCTCACGGGGTCCCAGGCAGCCCCCTCTCCGGCCCTCTGGCACCCGTCGGCAAGAAAGCGCTCAGAGCGCCACCACCCGCTTGTTTGAAAACTGTTCATTAGCATGTTTGTTTTTATTGGACGCACAATAACCATAATGGGCGCGGTTGCCTGCTTTAATGACTGCGATGAATATTCATGAGTGGGGCGGGAGCGCCCTAATAGGGTAGTGCGGGCCTCCAAGCCTGGGTCCAGCGGGGAGGGCGGTCCGGATCGCTGCCCCTGCCAACATCCAGCCTCCCCGGGTCGCATGCACCCAACACCAGCTGCAGGCTTCCACCTGGGGCGGTTCCTTTCTCTGTTTCCTTTGGTCTCTTTAGCCTCAGCTGCTCTGCCAAGCGTCTGGTGAGGGACTTGTGCACCTCCCCGCAGCAACGCTCCCCAGTGCACCCCCAGCTTTCTCGCACCCCCAGCTTTTTTGCCACCTGTTTTCCGTCCGTCTGTCTGCGCGATCTGCGTCCCTTTGTCTCCCACCACGTGGCTCTCAACGGTCCACCGCAAAGTTCGTGTTACCCAAACTCCTGGCAGGGAATGTGGGGTTGGGCGCTCTTCGAGGGGAGTTTGTGGCCTGTGATTAAGAGATTTAGTCACTTGTGGAATGACTTTATTTTATAGCGACTTCCTCCCCGACTGAGTGATGTTGTGCGCATTGGTTGTATTTATAACTTAATAGCTTTTCTCAATTTTATTATACTTTTTATGATACTTGTGGCTTTATGGGACTTCATAATTTTTCTCAGATTCATTAAATTCAGCTGAGGGTGAAGCTAACAACGGGAGGAGGTAACAGATTCCCGGGTGTTGAGGTGTGGAGGGGGGCATCCTGCCCAGCTGTGACCCCTCCAAGCATGCACTAAGTGCTGGAAGTGGTGGTGGTGCTAGCTCTCTGGGTGATCTTGGCTTAGTGTTCTCATCTGGGACATGAAACTTCGGGAGATGCCACTTGAGAGATGGCAGGCTGTTTCCCAGTGGAGGCTGGTCCAGGGTCATCCCCTTTGGCCATACACTGAATCTGATCTCGGTTTGTCCTGGTCCCTCCCTGCCTCCCCTTCATTTTTTTCTAACACCAATTCATAGAATCAGAGACACCTCTAGATTTCCTGGATCAACATCTTCACTTTACAGGTGGAGAAACAGAGGCTCAGAGAGACATCAATCCACCTCTCAAAAGAAGGAGAAAGTAGAAAAAAATGCCAGACAGTGTTGCAAAGGTGTCATCTGACTGACATTCTACAAGTTGACACTCTTTTTTTTTTTTTATACTGGGGATCAAACTCATGACCTTGTGCTTGCCAAGCAGGCTCTTTGTTGCTGAACTATATCCCTGGCTCCCTGCTCAACACTTTCAGCTCACAAAGAGACAGTGCATATAATTGCACTGCTCACAAAGTTGCTTCCAAGCTTAGAAAATGATGCCTATTTAACAAGGTCCAGGAAAGCAGGCTGTCTGTGCCCACTGAGTTCTGCTGCAGCTCCTGTCTACAGCAATACTTGGTGCAGAGCAGAGTTGCACTAGGGGATCCCTGGGCTTTCCTGGCCCTTGAAGAGTGAGTGGTGCTCTCTAGGCAGGGCACCCAGGGCAAGTCCAGTTTAAAACTTGTGGAAGAAACTCTTGCATTGAGTCCTGTTGGAATTTCCCTGTGGTTATCAACAAACCCACAGCCATAGTGTAAACTAGGGCCATTGCTGGCTGTGATGCCAGCCTGCTCTCTCCTCTTGTCCCCAGGGCCTACTCTCCTTGACCAGCCCTTGTCAGGATGCACTGTGGATCCTGATTCCTAAGGGAGTCTGAGGCACAGGATCATTGTGATTTTGAAGCCAGGCTGGACTACATAGCAAAACCCTCTCTCAACCCTTTCTTCCAATTAAAATTCCTTTTAAAATCTTTCCAGTGGCTGGGAGTTTAGCTCAGTGGCATAAGTGCCTGCCTGGAAAGCACAAGGTTGTAAGTTCGATCCCCCAAATAAATAAATTAAATAAATGCTTCTGGGCAACAGCTTTGGATTATTAGGCATTCCCTCAGTCTACAGATGTTAGAGGCATGACCACTGATGTGTACATGTGTGTTTGCATGCTTGTGGTTGGCAGTGTATCAAGGCACCTTTCAATGCTAACAAAGGTCTTTGGACTCTGGGGTTGGATACTCCTGCTTGTGGAATGCTGTCTTGGCTAGCATGTCATGCTGGCCACACCTGGCATGGTGACGTGTGACATGCATGTGCTCAGAACGTTTGTTCTGTTTCTGAGGTGAGCTGGCAGGAACACGGTCCTTGAAGGTAGCAATAGAAAGACCTGAGTTTGAATCCTTGCTCTACCTGTTTGCTGAGTATCATCTTGAGCCGAATCATAGCCTTTTTAAAATCTTAATTACCTCACCTATAAATTGGGGGAAATAAACTGGGCATGGTATCCTACACCTATAATTATAGCATTCTGGGAGGTTTAGGCAGGAGGATCACAAGCTCAAGATTCCTAGATCATTTAGTACCTTAGTAAGACTCTCTCCAAATTTCAAAGGCTGGGGCTAGAGCTCTGTGTAAGGGTTCTGGGCTCAATCCCCAGTGTCACAAAAAAAAAAAAAAAAAATCAGGTAAAATCAGTTCCTTAAGGGTTGGTCATGACTAGGAAAAACTTTGTAAAGTGCCAAATTGGGTGTCATAGTAATCTGTAACCCTTGAACCTTTCGTGTATGCAG